ACAGAGAAGCCGGCGCACCACAACGAAAGATCCCACATGCTTCAACTAAGACCCGACACAGCCAAAAAATAAGCTAAATAAATAAATAAATAATAAAATTTGCCAGCAGGATAGTGGAAAGCATCCAGGAAGAAGCGGGTAGGGAATGTTCTTGGGTCACCCGACCAGCAGTGTGTACCCCATTACCAAGATAAAAATAGCCAACAACTGGACGTTGACAGCTCTTCTTAAGGAAGATCACTCTTTGAGACTTTTATTTTCTTCTTTATTTTCTCTTCAATAAAAATGTATTGACTGTTTACTGTATGCCAGGAAATGTTCGAGGTGCTGGAGACACAGTTGTGAATAAAGTCAAGTCTCACCTTTATGGAACTTACATTCGGGTGAGATTGACAGATTTAAAGAGCAAGTGATATAAATTCAGGCAGGGATAAGTACCAAGAAGAAACATAGAGCAGAGTAAGGGACAGAGTGTGAAGGGGGTAGGTGCTGCTTTAGATAAGGGGGTCATCGAAGCCCCTTCTGATGACCGGTAGTTGAACTGGTAAATGAATGAAGTCAGAGGCTTACATGTGAAGACCTTGGGCAAAGGCATTCCAGACAGAGGAACAGTAAGTGCAGCAGCCCTGAGACAAGAGCTGTAGCAGCTGGAGCCCCCGAGGGAGGGACTGAGGCAACAAGGGGCCAGAGGCATGTGGCCAGGGAGGGTGCTAGATGCTTCGTCATTATTATTATTATTATTGTCATTGTTAGTAATGTGTGACAGAAGCCACTGCAGGATTAAGAGCAGGGGAGTGACATGATCTGTTTTAAATTTTAAAATCTGACTACAGTGTAACTAGCCTGATAGAAGCTCAGAACCTAAACGGACAGCTTCAAAAGTTGGATGGGAACAGTTACCAGCTCTTTTCCTTTTCACTTCTCGCTTAAATAACAACGAGAATGTTCAGCTTAGGTACCTGGAAATCAGAGGTATAACCGGCTTCAGGGTTCATCGAGCCAGCGGCTTAACAATGTCATCGAAGACAGTTTCCCTCCCTCCATGTTAGACCTTCAGCACCATTTAACTGGATTGGAAGTCTAATTCCCCTCCGCACAGGGCTGATGGGTATTTGCTGGTAGCAAACCAGCTGCGCACTTTCTCCCTCACGGCGAGAGGTCACAGGTAGCCCAGTGTGCATAGCAACAGACCAGGGCTGCCCTTGCTCATACCCCTTAGATCACGGCTACCCTTTGTAAGTCAAAGACTTTGTCAAGGAGATGGAATCGTCCGTGGGATTTAGATGGAGGCCATCTCTATAGCTGAAGGTGGAGTAAGCTTTCCCCAGAGCGTACGGGCTAAGTGAAGAAGGGGAGGAAAAACAAGTGAAAATGTGCGTGTGAGAAGGACCAGGTTGTGAGGCAGCAAAGAGGTGCTAGGCGGGCACCACGGGTACCACTTGTGTTTCCTCACCGTAAGCAATGTGGGGCACACCCCTTCTCCCTTTCATGCCTGTCAAGGCTTTTGATTTAGTGCTGAGCTTACTGGAGGATGAAGACCTCACATTTTCTCAGACAATTCTTACAAACTAGATTAAAAAAATTTTTAATGACTTTCCCATGTAGTTAAAATTGTTTCTGAAACGCTGATTCTTATGTCCAGTTGCAAAATCACCGTGTGCCTCAGGAACTACATATGCCCATGTTTGCACCAGTGTCCCCTCCCCGGGTAATGACAGCTGTCCAAGGGCACCTGTCAGCTGTCACCTGCATAGTTTATTTTCCCTGCGTGAGTAAAGACGACGGTAACTGCTAGAACCATTCCTCATTTAGGATCTTCTCCCTCGTACTTTGTAAATCCAGGAACTTTTTACCAGGCACGTTACCCACCGGAGATTAGAACAGATTCGATTAGAAGGTAAGCAGGAAATGATAAATAAAAGTGATTAAAGATATACATTATCTTCTCTCAAATACAGAAATGTCAACTTCATTAATAAATACATGAAAATTAAAACAAAATGCAGACTTCCCTGGTGGTGCAGTGGTTAAGAATCCGCCTGCCAATGCAGGGGACACGGGTTCGAGCCCTGGTCTGGGAAGATCCCACATGCCGCGGAGCAACTAAGCCCATGCACCACAACTGCTGAGCCTGCACTCTAGAGTCCAGGAGTCACAACTACTGAGACCACGTGCCACAACTGATGAAGCCTGCACGCCTAGAGCCTGTGCTCTGCAACAAGAGAAGCCCGCATGCAGCAACAAAGACCCAATGCAACCAAAAATAAAATAAATTTAAAAATAAAGTAATTAATTGTTTAAAATCCATATTAATATTTTCTTAGTCATTTTAGGTCTACCACTGAGGATTCCTCATGTTCTTCCATAAAGAGTCCAGGCTCACAAATTCCCACCCCGCTTCCCTCTAGCCTCTCCAGGACTAAGTAGTTCTGCCTCAGGATCAACCGGGGGCTTGTTAGAAACACAGATTGCTGGGCCCACCCCGGAGTTTCTGATCTAGTAGATCTGAGGTGGGACCTGACATTCTGCATTTCTATTAAGCTCCCAGGTAATACTGATGCTGGTCTTGTGACCACTCTTTGAGAAACAGTGCTTTAGAAAAACAAATTCCCTTCCAGTCTTAAAGAGAGCAGTTCCACTCCCTTCTGTTCATCCTGGTGTCAGCAAATACGCAAACCCTGGGGTGCGCACATTGCACTGCAACTGCAAGCACTCATCAGCACATTTTCCCCAACAAATACAGCTCCCTTTCTAAAAGGAACTGTGTGCCGGGTTTAAAGGAAAGATGCCATTTTCCCCCCACTGTGTTGCCTCATCATCGTAATTGTCAATATCATTGCCATCTGAATTTATGACGTGATTCCTTTGTAGAAAACACTACGCTTAGTACTTTGCATTCATTTGTTCTTCAGTCCTGTTGGGAGCTAATTCTCCATGACTCTCTCACATTTCTCCATGTTAGGCATCATCAGTCAATTTGTTCAGAAGTATTTCCATTCCAGGAGAATAAAGATCGAGAGCATCCTCTCCCTGGAGATATCCAGGAGCGTAACGATGAAGACCTCACCCTCCCTGCCCCGCGGAAGACTTGCTAACATCCTAGGATAGTGAATGGAATAGTTCTCTTCAGAGCACAGAGTGGCCAGGTCTGCCAGCAGCCTCTGGATGCGGTTGGGGGTTTCTGAAGCTTGGTATTCCCGAGCTGTGACGCAGGACCACTGTGCACCCACGTCCACTGGGCCTCTTCATTTCTCCCATGTGACTTGAGGGGCCGTAAGTAACACACTACCCAAATCTACGTGGGCGCATTGTCCCCACACCAGCCAAATCTAGGGACATTTGCCAAGCCGATCTAGCAGCTGTCACCGGCCACTCCTGAGGGACTGCTTGACTTCTTGGCAAATCTCTAAGATTGTTCTGTTATTTCCATTCTTTGGAAGAGAAACTGAAGCTTTAGGCAGTTTAATAACATGTCCAATGGTGAGTGACAATGTCAATTACTAAGTGACAGTGACAAGATTTGATCTCATGTCTGCCTGACTAGAGTCTACTTTCTTTGCAATTGCACATTTCTAGTAGCAATTCTGAGGCCTTTAAAAAACGAAGAATCAGAAGTCCTCATTCCTGTAGCAAAGCTCTAAGTAACCTCACAGGAGGAAAACAAACTTTTCCACTCCTGTCAATACACCCAGCGGAGCCCCAAAGAGTGAGAGCTGGTCCTGGACAATCTTCCCTGAGAGCAGTGGCTTCAAAGGGAAGAAGGTGGGAGGCGGAAGGGCAAACATGTTTCCGACATCATCTTAAAGTTTGCTTTTCCTCTGTTTCTCTTAGTAATATTGGTAAATCTGTACAAATATTGTAAATCCGTAAATCTGTATTTCAGTCAGGTTTATCGAGGTACAGTTTACGTACAATAACACTGATCAATTTTAAGCGCGCCATGCGATGCGTTTTGACAAATGTGGACAGTCCCGTGACCTCCACCTTGCTTGTGATACAGATATTTCCATCACCCTAAAATGTTTCCCTGTGCCCTGTTGCAAGGAAGCCCTGCGTCCTTTCCTGGTTCCTGGCAACCACTGATCTGCTTCCTGTCTATTGCTTTCTCTTATCTAGACTTGCATATAAATGGAATTATGAGCAATTATGTAGTAACTCCTGCCTGACTCCCTTCCCTCAGCACTGTGCTCTTAAGATTCATCCATGTGGTTACCTGGACTACTGGTTCCTTTTTTTTTTTCCTGAACAGTAATCTTTGTATGAATACACCACAATTTGTTTATCTCTTCAACAGTTGGTGGAAATCTGGGATGTGTTCAGTGTTTTGGGCTATTATGAATAAAGCTGCTATTAACATTTTTGAGTACAAGTCTTTGCTGGAATATATATTTTCTCCCATGTCCTGGGGGCTATCTCCTGAAGGTTCCCGGGGTAAAACCCAGCTCTTAGCATGGCATATGATACTTTTTAAGAGCCTTTCTCTGTCTGTCTTTCCCACCGTATCTCTAAATATTTTCTGACACAAAGTCTGTAGTCCATTCATTCATTAATCCAACATCCGTGCACCCAAACAATGCTAAGGACTGGGGATAAATATGAACAAAGCAGAGACAATCCCAGTCCTTACAGAGCATCTAGTGGGTAAAACTGACTATAAACAAACAGACATATAAAATGATTGCAGGGAATTCCCTGGCGGTCCAGTGGTTAGGACTCCGCGCTTTCACTGCCGAGGGCCCGGGTTCAGTCCCTGTTTGGGGAACTAAGATCCCACAAGCCACGTGGCACGGCCAAATAAAAAGAAAAAAAGTGATTGCAGATCATGAGTGCTACAAAAGAAACGAGAGATGAGATGACACTAGCTGGCTGTCATAGGGCAGAGGAAAACATGGCTGGAGGTGAGAAGATCATAGAACAACAGACTGGGAGGTCGGCTGGCTCTGCCGTGTGGGTGCAGATGTCATCAAGAGTAACGATAGGGTAGGAAAGAGGAACTCGGTGAGCGCAGAGCCAAAGCCTTTCACGAAGCAGGTGTCAGTAGATGATAAGCCCTGATGTCATTAACTTCTAAGGAATTCTGGTTTTTGAAGGAGGGAGGAAAAGAAATCGTTTGAATGCAGCAAAATGGAGCGAGGAAGATGCTTCTCTCTTGGTCTTAAGGTATGTGGGTGTAAGAAACCAGGATTACACAGGACAAAGGACGAAGGGTTTGGGAGGATAGGGGAGAATGGCGAGGAGCTGGGATTCAGAGAGTGTCCTGTGTCAATGGCTTGAGAAGTTTTGGCTACTAATCATAACAGGAGTAAACAGATGAGAAATGGGAGGATGGGTAGGAAAATTGTAGCTTTGGGTCCTGAATATATGGGTCCACGGCTTCTGCTATTCGCTCACTTCTGCTTTCTCCGAGATTCAGAAGCCCGAGCGGGGTGCTTTGACTGGGAGTCTGAACATGCTTGCCCACACGCTCAGGCCTTTGCAAAGCTGTTTTGACTCGGTCATTTCCCTGTGCTCTGACTTCCCGTTCACGATTTGAGTCAAACTTCACTTCCTCTCTGAGCTCCGTTTCTACCGTTTCTACCGACCCACAGCCTGAGTGAGCCAGAGCAGACTCGGAAGCTCGAGCATCCTCACGGCTTCCCGTTTGGAGTCTAGGTTTAGCTCACACTCTAATGTAATTATCGGTCTACATTCCTGTCCGCCTAACTCTCTCAACAGCCCTTTCGGGACAGAGATCATGTCACTCATTTCTGATTTGTAGCAATCATAGCAATTCACGAGTGTCTGTCCCATGCACACCTTATCAGCGAAAGTTGACTGCAAGAATAAGAAATTCAACTCCATCAGTCTATTACCTGCTTTGTGAGGTCGTATCTCCTCTTATTTATTGTACTTACCTTGTTCAAGTTGCAGAGGGTGCTCCTTCCTTTAGTATTTCGAGCTTGGCTAACAAATCCATCTCCCCTTACTCACGTGCTTTAGAGTTGTGCTGTGTGTGAGCCTATATCCCGACAAACTGAAGTGTCCACACGTGGCAGCTTGTTCTTCCAATGAACCTTCTCTCTTCCATCGTGGCAGTCACATCAGTTGCCCTTCTCCACCCTAATAAGTGTAGACTCCCTTTGTTTCATTATTCAGAAAGCACTACTTGCTTTACCCTACTTTTGTTTCTTAATCTCTTCACTAGGGCTTAAGATCAACTCGGAAAGCTGACTGAAAACAGGCCTGGCTGTCATTGTGTGAATGAGTAGAAAATATCACTCTACACACGGCTTTAACATTCAAGAGATTTTAACTGAAAAGTAGACTAGATTTCTGATCACTGAGTGTTGTGTTGCTTGCCACATTTAATATAATCATTTATTTAAAGGGCAGTGACAAATGACAGGTGTAAACGGATTACTTGTTTGTGGATACATAAAGAGTGTGGAAATTAGAATATAGTCATGGTTAGGACCACACAAAACATCCAAATCTACTTTAGCACAGATTAATGAATAAGATATTTGGGGAAGCCCATGCAGATATGGCATACTGCTTTTTAAATGATATCAATTGCTTTTGAAAACAATGAAGCCTCCTCTGAATGCTGCCAATAATCGTGGAAGGCAAAAGAATAGCTCCCCAAAGATGTCCACACTTTAATCTTCAAAACCTGTGAATATTTACCTTACATGGAAAAAGAAATTTTGAAGATGTGATTAAATTAAGGGCCTTGAGATGGCAGGATTATCCTGGATGACGTGCATGTGCCCAATCTAATCACATGGGTCCTTTCCTAGCTGTGGTCAGAGGGAGATGTGACCATGAGATGGCAGTGGGAGAAGCACTCAAGCCATGCTTGGTGGCTTTGAAGACAGAGGCCGTGAGCCAGGGCATGTAGGCGGCCTCTATAAATTGGAAAAGGCCAAGAAACAGATTCTCTCCCAGAGCCTCCAGAAAGGAACACAGCTCTGTTGACACCTTGGTTTTAGCTCTGTGAGACCCTGCACAATGGTAAGATAATAAATTGTGTTGTTGGAAGCCACTGAGTTTATGGTAGTTTGACAAAGCAGCCATAGGAAACTAAAACTTGATAGTATTGTAAAAGTGATAGAACTGCTTTCCAGAAGGGAAAAAAAAAAACAGTGAAAACTTGGCTAAGAGTTGTATCTAATTTAGATGGAAATGAGGAAAGTAACTTTGGAGCATGAATTACTTGTGATTATTTTTTTTCTAGACATGTCTAATGACTACTTAAAACAAAACAGAGGAAAAGACAACATGATATGCACCAAACAGCTCACAGTGTTGTCTTAGTTAGTGACACTGTGGGTACAGCAGTCCCCCCCTTCTCCGTAGTTTCGCTTTCTGTGGTTTCAATTACCCACGGTCGACCTCAGTCTGAAAATATTAAATGGAAAATTCCAGAAATAAACAATTCATAAGTTTTAAATTGTGCACCGTTCTGCGCAGCGTGATGAAATCTCCACCCCACACAGGGTCCCAGCCATAGATGCCATGTGCTCCTGACAGCTGACCCGAAGCAGATGGTCTCCCTTCTGACTCAGCGTCAGAAGCTCAGTAGCAGCCTAACGCTAGGTCACAGTGCCTACGTCACTCACCTCGCTCCATCTCATCACATAGACTTTTTATCATCTCACATCATCACAAGAAGAAGGGTGAGCACAGTACAATAAGATATTGTGAGAGAGAGAGAGATCACCTTCACACAACTTTTATTACAGTATGTTGTTCTAACTGTTCTATTTTATTATGAGTTACTGTTGTTAATCTCTTACTGTGGCCAATTTATAAACTAAACTTTATCATAGGTATGTATGTACAGGAAAAAACAGCACACATGGAGTTTCGTCCTACACGCATCAGGCATCCACTGACAGTCTTGGAACATATTCCCTGCAGATGGAGGGGGGGGGGACACTGTATGTGTGTGTGTATATACACACACACACACACACACACACACACACACATATAGCCCCTATCTATTTATCTATATACTTGTTTAGTTTTTTAATTTTTCTACAAATATATGTCACTTTGTATATTAACAAAATATATGGCCAAAAACAAATGGAAGTGAGCAAAAGAAGAAATGATTTATTGCAAAAAGATCTGGTTCAAAGGTCACTCATAACAAAAATCATGAGCCAAGAGCAAGTTTTCCAGAGTCAGTAAGAAATTCTCTTTCTAAATAAGGTAGCAACACACACACACGTGCGCACACACACACACATACACACACATCTGTGAATCAAAAATTAGAATTTTTAGGGACTTCCCTGGTGGCGCAGTGGTTAAGAATCCGCCTGCCAATGCAGGGGACGCAGGTTCGAGCCCTGGTCTGGGAAGATCCCACATGCTGCGGAGCAGCTAAGCCTGTGCACCACAACTACTGAGCCTGTGCTCTAGAGCCCACGAGCCACAACTACTGAGCCCGTGTGCCACAACTACTGAAGCCCACACGCCTAGAGCCCGTGCTCAGCAACAAGAGAAGCCACCGCAATGAGAAGCCCGTGCACCACAACGAAGAGCAGCCCCGCTGGCCGCAACTAGAGAAAGCCTGCGCTCAGCAATGAAGACCCAACACAGCCAATAAATACATTACTTAATTTTTTAAAAATTTAGAATTTTTAAAAACCTTCATATACCGCCATGAGCTTGAGAGTTTCCTAATATTCAAAAGAATGTTCTCGATGAAATCAGTGTGGATATTAGCAACTGTGATTTTTTTGTTAACATAGTAATAATGAAATTTGTCAACATTTGGAAGTCACAAAATCATACATGGGTGAAAGATCCATTCAGAGTAGGAGACAGATTGATGGGTTTTCATGTAACAGAGGAAGAAAAGTTCACTGATACGGTTTTGGTTTCCCCATTCAACCAACCTTTAAGAAGTTACCACTTGTCGAGTTCCAGTGTTGTACCAAAGAAGAAAATCCAATTATCAATACGTGAGAAGGTTATTAAATACTCCTCTCTTTTCTAACTACATATCCCTGTGAGATCAGATTTTCTCCATATACTTCAGTCAAAATGAGATATCACAACGGATTAAAGGCACAAGCATATTGTGGGAATCCATTAAGCCAGACATTAAAGAAATAGTCAAAATATGAAACAATGCTATTCTTCTGATTAGTTTTAATCCAAAAACATGTTTTTATGCAAATATTCATTTTAACAGGCAGTGGGTTTATTACAGTCATTTTATTTTTTTTTAATTTTTTAAATAAATGTATTTATTTATTTTGGGCTGCGTTGGGAGATTCTTAACCACTGCACCACCAGGGAAGCCCTTATAGTCATTTTGAAATATTTTAAAAACACCTCGCTATTAATTTCTAATATGGTAAATATTAATATATATAACCTCCCATAAACAAGAGTTGTCAATAATTTTTAAGGGAGCAATGGGCTTGGGAGAGGAAGTTTGAGAACGACTAAATAAACAAAGCCATCAGGAAGTTCTAGAATCTGACAGCTTCTGAAGGAGAGATTGCAAAATTTGTTAGCCAGAAATATGTTGTTTATTTGATACACCTGTCGTTTCAGGAAGGGTTAAAAATATGAAGGTTCTAAGAATAGTTCCAGTTATCCACACAACTGCTAAGATTTCTGGTTGTTGTGATAAACTGAACTGTAAATGAATTACTTTAATATAAAAGAGATTTTCCTATCCTATGTATAATAAGAAGTGCAAAAGTATGAAAGACATTTTGATCCTTTGCTATGGGGGAAAATGGTACTTTATTAAAAGAAAGGAGGAAAAAAAATGAATGGACATTGGTACCAGAAGGTAAGAGTTTTGGAGCCATTCTAGAGAAAATAGCCGCTAAGAAACTTTGTGATAAACAGAATTATAGACCATGAAAAGACTGGAATTTCTAACTTGACTGAAGGGATATTTGAAACAAAAAGAGTAATATGGCAGCTAAAATAAAACCTCAAGTTTAAGAAACATTCTTTATTCCTGTAGTTTTTATAAAGTATACCATCAATGTAAATAACCAGGGAAAACATATTTTTTATCCATACAACTTCTCAGCTGCCATGTCACTGACTAGCTGGGTCATGGTCATGGCCATGGCGGCAAACAACAGCCCTTGAACTGACAATCTGGAATGTGAATAGTTCACATATGGAGAACTGGGAAATCATTTCATGTAATTCAATTTTCCGTCTCTAGCCAGCAGGGAAAATGTCTCAGCTATTTTCCAGAGTAAATGATCATGTTCCCCTGATTATGATTCTAGGGATACAGTATTTTAATGCTAGTTAATTGAGCCAATGATTCCTCCCTCACTCGGGCTCCACTCATACACAGAGGAGCTAAATGGGCTGAGACACAGCACTGGCCCGAAAGGGCTGCTGAAGAACTCCATTGCTCCACACCGTTCAGCCACGAGGATGACGACTCGATGGTGATCCGGATGGATGGCTAGAACTCACCGATGTCACTGTACCACTGGCCATTCTTTTTACTGCTCGTTCACTTAAGTCCCATCACAGCACATCTTACTGTCTCACAAGTTAGCAGTTGTTGTTTTTTTTTTTGGGGGGCTGCGCCGTGCAGCAACATAGGATCTTAGTTCCCCTACCAGGTATCAAACGTGCGTGCCCTGCAATGAAAGCATGGAGTTTTAACTACTAGACTGCCAGGGAAGTCCCCATAAGTTAGCAGTTTAGAAAAAAATATAAAAGCTTTTTTTTTTTTTAAATTGGATTAAGGGTGTACTCTGAGTGAAAAGCTATAGATGAAAAATCATATGATTTAGTAATAACTGCATAACAATCGTTATAGTGTTGGGTTACAGTTAATTTTAGGACACAAATGTAGAAGGTGTTTATGGGATTTTTGGCAACCAGCATCCCTTGCCTCTTTCCCATAGAATACTCCTTTCCTTTTGAGGACTGTCTGATCTCCCACTGAATTTAATCTGGAGAACTTCTTGTTAGACAGATGTTCCTGCCTCACCACGCCAATGGTTGGGTACATAACCCAAACTTGAGGCACCCTCCATTCAATTTAAATCTTGAACAGAGTGACAGAAACTGAGGATGACTTAAGTGATTTATTCTAGAGGAACAAACTAGAAAAAGCCGTTCTTGCTGCCTCATTCCTGTTGCTCCAGTCAGTAGTTCCTAGAGCTCCCTGGGCTCCGACCATAAAACCCTGCTTCTCCAGCCCCTGAGTCTCTGAACTCCTGATATCTGTCCAGAAAACTTCCTTTTTGATTAAGTTAACCGGAGCCTAAACACGCAGTTTTTGGCTTGCAACCAAAGAACACCCGTATAAGCAAGTGTCCATACACGTATTACCTTTAAACCTGCTGCGAGGAGCTGTGATATCACGCTGCCTGAAGAGCATTAGCCTTGGTCGTGTGCAAGAGAGTGCTGGCGTAAATCCCTCAACCCTCGGTCAATTCAAACACCTCGAGTACCCATGAGGACAAAGAACTGCATTCAAGAATCACTGCAGAATGTGTACGCTGCCCCAGGCGTTGTGCGAGACCCTAGGCCAGACACGGGAGACACGGAGATGAGAACAAAATGATTGCTTGTCTTCAGAGAACGTATAATCTAGCGGAGGAAATAGACATGTACACAGTGAAATAGAACCCACGCGGTAAGTGCCACAACGGAGGGCGCGGGGCAGAAGCCACAGATATTTCCTCCTGCCACGTAGTTCAAGAAGGAGTTAGGCCTTGAAACAAATTGGATTTCTCCAAGCAGAGAGGGCAAGGAAGGTATTTCAGGGAGATTAAAACAGACAGATCATGAGAGACCGTGGCCTGACTGGGGAACAGGGGTCGTCCTCGGCGGCGAAGGCAGAGCACAGGAGGCGCGAGAGGTGCAGGAGGGAGGGCGGGTCTCGCTTTTGCCCGACTGGCGGTGCAGAGCCTGCAGGCACTTTGGGATTGAAAAGGAGAGCCGGCATTCCAGCAGCAGAGGCAGAGATTAAACATCCCAGATGCAGTGGCAACTGTCATGGCAACGTCATGGCAACGTCATGGCAACTGCGGTCACTGCTGAAAAGGCTGAGCACGCAGCCCTCGGAGGTCAGGGTGTGATGGAAACCGACCCGTGTGCGCGTGGCGCACTCACGTCCCCAGTGCGGGGATCCTTCCCTAAGGAAATGCTGTCGGAGGCTCGACCTGAAACATCGACTGTCCCGCCGTCCTTTGTGGCCAGTGAGGGGCCTGGGGCAGGAGGGAGACTGAAGGGAAGGAAGCTGGAGTCGCAGGAGCGCAGACCTGTGAGGGAATCTGTGGCAAAAGGCTGTGGCCCCGACTTCAGAAGAGTCTCAACTTTAGACTCCGACCGTCTCTCCAGCTGAAGCTGTGTCTACAGTCACAGTATGTGAGTGTTTAAAGCACTGGTGTGTTAAGTAAACACTGTAAAACATATCATAGTTTTTCACTCCCCATTTTATTTTTCTGGGGGTTTCTTCTCCATCACAGCCTCTAAAATTCTACGTGCTCGGACCCCGGGCTCCTCGGGTTCTGCTGGTGAGAGCGTGACGGGCCACACGGGCCTCGCTGGCTGTGGAAGGACTGGACTCGTCTCCCCAGGGCAGGGGAGGCCTCAGAGGGGTTCCGTCCACACCTGAGAAGCGCTGTGCCCGTTTTCCCACATTTATCAACTCCTCTGCTTTTCACCGCTGCCTGGCAAGGAGGGTATGTTTAGCCTTATTTTGCAAAAGGGGAAACCAAGGCTAAGAAGAGGCTAAATAATTTCCCCAGGTCACACTGCTAGGAAATGTTTAAGCCGGCCGTTTAATAGGGACCTAACTGCCACGCTCAAGCCCTCTCCACTGCCTCGTGGCCACCCCGCTGCCCTGCAGAATTGTAAGAAGTACTGGGCAACGCTGGAAAGCACAGGAGTGTTATGGGCTGAACTGCATCCCACTCAAATTCATATGTTGAAGATCTAACTCTCAGTAGCTCAGATGTGATCATATTTGCAGATGTGGCCTCTAGTTAAAATGAGGTCTGTAGGGTGGGCCCTAATCCAATATGACCAGTGTCCTGATGAAAAGAGGAAATTTGGGCACAGACATGTACGTGTGAAGACACAGGTAGAAGGCAGCCATCAGAAGCACAGGAGAGAGGCCTTAGAAGAAAACAAACCTGCAGACACCTTGATCTTGGACTTCCGGCCTCCAGAACTGTGAAAAAGTCTACTGATATTTCTGATGGTTAAGCTATCTGTCTGTGGTGCTTTGGAATGACAGCCTCTAGCAAGCAAACCAGCACAGGGAGTTTGTTACATTGTTTGTACTTCGCTGCGGTTGCTGATACTGTTCTCTTTCCACAGATGCCCATGTTCCTGGCAGATTCCCTAATACAATATTCCACCGGCTACAGTCAGAGCTTTGCACACCTGGCCTTCTCCCCATAATTAAAAATTATCATCAGGTTAATCTTCAAAGCCTTGCCTTCCTATCATATGATGGTGCATAGCAAAAGATTAAGCCGTTTAAACTAAATCCTGGCAATAGTCAATATTAGCCCTCCAAGTTGAGGTAAAGCCTTTACTCAGACATTAAGAATGCTACGACATAATTAAAACTCTTAAGGTGGGATATAAGTCTTAAGAATTTCAGGTACCAGCAGTTAATCAGGAGAGAGATTTCTGAGTAAACTTTCAGCATCTTTGGAATCATCCTCCAAAGCTCGTGCAAAAGGCTGACTCCACTAAAAGGAATATTTTGGCCGATGGAGGGGTTGAGAAGCTCGTGAAAATGTACTCTCGTGGCTTGTTTGGCTTCACTAATTGGATCAATATTTCTTGTGTATTTTTTTCTCTTAAAAAATAAAACCAAATACAGTACTAACCCAATGCCTTTAGAAACCTGTATTTTGTCTTCTGGAGACTTTTTAGTGTTTTAATTCCCTCAGCCACTCTGTAATTCTTTATTAAGTTTTAAAGTGGTTTAAACTCTCCATCTGCAGACAATGCATTATTTCCGCCTCTTTGCCAGCAGGTGTAGTATTTCCCAGGAGTCTGTTTTAGAGCGCCTTCTGGTGGTTTACAGCTATTATGACACATCCATCTGTAGCATCTGCATCATCTCACGGTGATTGCTAAGACCTGCTCACCAAAACAATAATAGAAGTTATGTGTGCAACAGATTGCAGCAGAATGATGCTCAGCTTTACAAATTAAGAATAATTACTCAACGTGTGACTGTCAGGAAAAGGACAGGAGAGTTTTGGGGAGGCAGGTTACAACCACTCTAGCAAACGGCTCTTTCACCTGGAACTGTAAAACATACTCTGAAGGATGCATTGTGTATTTCTATCGCTTGCTGAATTCGGCTAATTTTCAGTCTGGGGTGAAGGTAGAGAAAGTGCTCTGGCTTTGTGTTATGTCTGCTCATATTAAGGTCTCTTCGAGTGGGGCAATATGACTAATTACTAGCTCCTTCCAAGACTTTTTATTACTTGGTGATGAATCGTTAGAAGAAAGAGCTCAGTGACTTGTGTTCACATTGCTCTCTTGCCTTACGATCTAGGTCTCTGTGCCTTTCTTTTTATTTACTATTTGTCTTTTATTGTGGTAAAAACACATTAAATTTACCACCTTAGCCTTTTTAAAGTGTGCAGTTTCTGTGCCTTTCTGACTTGACTTTTTTTTTTTTTTCTTTCCGTCTGATCATGCCCTTTTCCTTGGTACTTATAACACTTAAGTACTGATATAGAAATGAAATAAAACATGTAAGGATTACAATGATAAATTGGCCCGCATTATGATGTGACCAGAAAACCTTGTGAAAAACTTTCAAAAACAGCAAAAAACCAAGCCTAGATGTATATCAGAATGAGTGTTCTTTTCAAAGTCACAACCTTGGGAAATTAAACACTTACTAGAAAGACTTTATCTAAAATTCTGGCTTTTACTTCAGAGAATATTGAATGTGAATTATGTCTCCCTTGCTGCAGAATCATCCGTCTTCAGAAATAGGTTTGGTTTTCAGAAACTGACAGAAGAGATATGGTTAATAACATAGATGAGCAAAGCTGAATCATGGGTAGTTGGGTCAAAAATAAACCTCAACTTAGTTAAGGAGATGTGTTTTCCTATGTAACTTGTAAATGGATTTTCCAGGCAGTTCCCAAAGAGGAAATTTTTAAATGTCTTGGGAAATAGTAGCATTTTCTGGAATAAAGAAAAAAAAGGTGTCGAGCTATTTAGAGGTGACAAAGCATTTCAACTTTATTTTCTCATTTAACCATAACACAGCAGAAAAGTAGATGAAAGGGATTTTATTATTATTATTATTGTCCCCGGCATGTGGATGAGAAAATAGAGACTTGTGGAGGTCCAGTGCCTGGTTCAAGGTGCTGTAATTGTCCACTGTGGGAGTGATTAATCTGGACATGGGACAGCAAATCCCATGTTCTTTTAGCTCCACCACAACTCTACAGTGACTAGCTGTTCAGGGACATTATTAGAGATATAGTTTATGGTATTTTTGCTTTATGAAAAAAATCAGATAACTCTTATCATAAACCTATACATCTTGTCACATTAAAAAACTATCTGATGAATGGGAAGGAAGTCTGGAAGAATATCTGTCCAACCTGTTAACAGTTGAATGGTAACATGATATTATTTTCTTCTTGAAACAACATGAATGTATGTATTGATAATCAGAAAAAAAGGTGTTATTTGTAAAATCAATTTCAAAAGAACTAATTGCAGAGTTCACAGTTCATAGGTTTTTTTAAATTAAGATTTTATTTTTTTAGAGCACTTTAAGTTCACAGCAAAATAGAGGGGAAGGTTCAGAGATCTCCCATATGCCCCCTGCCCCACACCTATACAGCCTCCCCCATTATCAACATCCTGCACCACAGTGGGGCATTTGCTACAATTGATAAGCCTACCTTGATACATCGTAATCACCCAAGGTCCGTAGTTTAAACTATGGTTCACTCTTAGTTGTACATTCTATGGGTTTGGACAAATGCATAATGACATATACCCATCATATATGTAAGATGATGATATCAGAGTATTTTCACTGCCCTTAAAATCCCCTGTGTTCTGCCCACCCCCAGAAACCACTGACCTTTTGACTGTCTCCATAGTTTTGCCTTTTCCAGAATGTCACAGAGCTGGAATCATACCGTGTACATCCTTTCCAGATCGGCTTCTGTCACTTAGTGATACACATTTAAGGTTCCTCCATGTCTGTTCATGGCTTGATAGGTCACTTCTTTTTACTGCTGAATAATATTCCACCGTGTGAATGTACCAGTTTATCCATCACCTCCTGAAGGACATGTTGGTTGCTTCCCAGTTTGGGCAGCTATGAATAAAGCTGCTGTAAATAACCACGTGCAGGTTCCTGTTGCTCTATATCCTCAGCAGCACTGAGTTGTCAGTGTTCCAGATTTTGGTCATTCTAATAGGTGTATAGTAGTATCTCACTGTTCTTTAAATTTACATTTCCTTGAATTTGCATTTTCTTTAAATAAATTTTCAGAAGAGGAGGAGTTTTTGTTTTTTAAATAGATAAATTCTTGAAAATGTATATAGGAAGAAGTTATTCTAAACTCCTAACTGAATAAGAACACATATGGTGGGGTCGGACTTTTTTAGTGATCTTTGATCTATTTGCTTAAAAACCTCTTGGAAATTCTAATGAAAATTGTGAACTCTTTCATCTGGAATATGTACATGATTTCAGAATTTTGCCTATAGTTAATTTGTGGGCGATCTAAGCGCCATCCGTAGGCCATATACTACCTATTCCTGTTTTGTTTTTTTTTCCTGAGAATTTTCTTTACAACTATCAAAAGTTTATTTTTTATGTATTAGATTTATAACATCTTAATTGGTAAAATTAAATTAATATCTTCTCTATAAATGGAGAAAATATTTCTTTATTAGCATAGCGATATTATTTTTTTATCGTCTCTCTGTGCATAAGTAGCTGAATGGGTTAAGGTCTCCTTAAGAACATTATTCAATCTATGGACTAAATTTCCTCCCTTTCCCTTCCTTGACTCCCTTCCCTCCATCTCTTTCCAGAAAGGATTTAAGGCAGTTTACAAACATGCACTAGATAAAGGAAAAGTAAAGATAATTCAGTGAGTAAATTTGGGCAAAGAGAGACTCAGCATAGGGCAAGTGAATTGAAATAACGTCTGCTTGGATGATCTAGAAGTGGACCACCTCTTGGACTCTGAGATGATGACATCGAGAAGGAAATGTGGTGCCTCAGGTGAGTCAGTGATCATGAGAGAAGACTTAATCACAGCTTAGGAGAAGCACATTTATTTTTGGCACTAAGTCCAGAGAAAATGTTTTTATGGCGGTTCTTATCAGGAGGACAGGAGCAGTGGACTGAACAATATCTTTAAAAATATCCATACTGTGAACAGAGTAATGAGTTACTCAGGGCTGCTTCTTATAGAGAAGATCTCAATAGAGATCCGTCACAGTTCAGTGAGCAACTTTCTGGGTAGGGAGCCTAAGGAATATGGCCCCTGTAACCAACACTACGACACTCTGACCTTAGTCCAACAATATGAGTAGAGGAAGGGTTAGATTGTCTGTCCTTTGGCAATCTTCCACAAAGATAGCTTTTCTCAACGACTTTTGATAAATATTTTTAAAAGCTCTATCAGGGTAATACATGCATACAGTAAAGTACTGTGAAATAAAATTCGTATTTATGGCAAGACAAGAAAAATTTAAACATAAAAAATTTTCTCTTCCCTTTGACCTCCTCTCTCCCCAGTTCTGTGCAATGTGTATCTACATAATGCGTTGACCAAACCTGCCCCATCGGCAGAAATACCTGCTTAACCATAAAGAGCAACATTCTTCTAACCTCAACAGGACAACTCCTAGAAGACAACATTCCTACCTGATCATGTAAGGGGCCAGATCTGGATTGTGTAAACTGTCAATAATACATCATTTAACATACAGCCCTCTGTTTCAAAAAACTTTTATAACCACACCTTGACTTCTAACGGGCGCAACAGTTCTCGAAGCTTTCTGAGATTCTGTTCTGTTTCTGAGTTTTAATCCTCAATTTGGCTTGAATAAAATTTTCCATTTCCTTCTTAAATGGACTGATTAATCCTTCGTTGACAGTATCCAATAGTAGATAACAGCTTTGACACAAGCAACAACCTCCCCCCCGCCCCCCCCACCGTCCTCCCCACCCTCTAGACTCATTCCGCAGAGACACTTACTACACTACGCTTATTTCTTCTAGTGGTTACTTTCAGAACACTAAGTAAACTTTCTTGATTTATAAATTTTAGATAAAATCTAAATTTTAATTTTAGATTGAGCTGAGCTATACTACTCATCTCTGATTGACAACTATTTTCAGTTCTTCTAAAAACTTACACTAATAAAACTCTATCTCATATTTCATCTGCATGAAATAAAACTCTATTTCATCTGCATATAAGATGAAGATATTGGCACGTCTAAATTTCTTCCCCCTTACCTGCCTTCCTTTGTAAATTATACTTTTATTTTCACATTGTAAATATTGCTAGTTTGCTACCATTGTATTATATTCTGTAACCTTGCCTTCTTCATATGCGGAATTACTTCTGATAAGCAGTTACCTTATTATGGTTATACATTATTATTTACTTCTAGACCAAGTGGTACACTAGGATTATATGTCCTTTTTGGCGAGTCCATAAACATCATACGACATTTGAATTTGCTAATTTGGACCATAGTTTTCTTTTACAGCGTTTGGTTTTGCCTAGAGTTTCTAATAAACTTTTATTTCTTGTTCACAAAAGAGTAGTATTGATATCCTCGTATCCTCATATTTTCACATTCTTGCAGTTGTGCTACCTGTGTGTGGGGTCCTTTTGCTTGGGGTCCCCTTTCTCAGTGGGGAGTCCTCCCCATGCTTTGTCCTCTGCCCCCATCTGGGTCATGTGTTCTCTGGAGCTGCTGAACTGTGTCACCTTTGGGTTTGTCTTCACTGCTCAACCTCTCAATGGTTAACCAAACCTTACATCTTTCTCTTTCCTCTATTTTCTTTAATCTTCCAAGTAACGTCCTAAGAAAGGGTACGAAGGAGTTAAATTTTCTAAGTCTTTCTTTGAACGGCTCAATGTGTCTTTATTCTGCCCCGACATGTGATTGATCATTTGTCTGGGTAGAGCATTTAGGTTAAAACTCACTTTATGTCAAAACGTTGAGGGCCGTGCTCCATCGTCCTCTCACATCCATTGTTCTTGATGAGAAGTCTGGCATCAGTTTGATCCTGAGTTTTTGTAGGTAACCTGTTCATTCTCTCTGGCAGCTTTTAGGAAATTCTCTTTATCCTGATGATCTAAATTTCATAGCAATGTGTGTAAATGTTTTCCCCACTCATTCCATGGTCCTGTTCAATTGGTAGGTCCTGTCCTTCTGGACTTATTATTCAGATGTTGAACCTAAAGAAATGATCCTTTAATTTTCTTATATTTTCTCTCCTATTTTGTAGTCTTCTTTGTTCTACTTCCTGGGATATTTTCTCAACTTTATTTACCAACTTTCCATATTTGACTGACCCTTTGTGCCTCTTTTCTCTCATTCTCTATTTTTGAGGGGCTATCTTTACCCACTTATTATACTTTACAAAATCTGCTTTTACTATTAACATTAAGGATTTTTTCCCAAGAGCTCTTACTTGGCTTCTTGATTATTCTCTTTCATGGCATACTGTTCTGCTTTTGTGTGGTTATAATATCTCAGTTCTTCCTGAGTATACTAAAAATACATTTTAACAAATCTATTTTCTGAATTTTCTGTTTTCTCTTTCTTTATGTTTGACTTTCATGCTGCTGGGTTTTCTCCTATTCCTGGTGATTTATGATTGACATTCCTATTTAAGAGAAGCTTAGGGAGTCCCAAATGCCACAACAAGATCAGGTGTGATCTCTCTAGGCAACCAAAACCCACACCAGAAGCTGTAAAACTCTCCAGGGAACATTCACATCTTTAGTAAACAGTCCTCTGGATTTTTTTTTTCCCCCAGAATTAAACGCTAGATTTCCTGATTACTTTGAGTGGTTAGGCAGGCTGAGAAACTGAAGGGTATATCCTTTGTGTACCCAGACCTTTAACAGATTCCCTGCTTCCAGCCCCACTTGTTGCTCCTGCCCTCTGTCAGATCTTCTGACTCTGAACCTGGAGAATCATACATGTTCCCAAAGGCAGACGGTTCCCATCTCTTGTGCAACACCCTTGGAGCACATTCCTGACGGTCGCCCCTTCTGCTGTGTTTCACCTGACAATACATTCCACCCACTTAATTTTTTAAATATTTATTTATTTGGCTGCACCAGGTCTTCACTGCAGCACTCGGGATCTTCACTGCTGCATGCAGGCTCTTAGTTGTGGCATATGGGATCTAGTTCCCCGACCAGGGATGGAACCTGGGCCCCCTGCATTGAGAGTGTGGAGTCTTAACCACTGGACCACCAGGGAAGTCCCTCCACCCACTTTACATGGTCCGCCAATTTGTCGAAATCTCTCATATGCTCTTGATACTTCTCATTTGCACTGCTATTATGAGATATTCTTTTAATGTATTTCTATAATTTTACTTCATTGGGAGGAATGGAAGACTTTCCTTCCATAAGTACTCAATGGCAGTCAGCTTCAGATTATGCTCTGTTATGCACTCAACTGTGTCACCTCAAAAGCCATAGGTTGAAACCTTAGTCCCAAATGCGACTATAATTGGAAATAGAAGCTTTAAGGAAGTAATTAAGGTTAACTAAAGTCATATGGGTGGGGCCCTAATCCAGTAGGACTGGTGTCCTTGTAAGAGGAAGAGAAACCAGGAATGCACATGCAGAGAAAAGACAATGTGAGAATAAATAAGAAGTTGACCATCTTCAGGCCAAGGAGAGAGGCGTCAGGAAAAACCAAACCTGGCAACACCTTTTTCTTGGATTTACCACCTCCAGGACTATGAGCAATAAATGTCCACTCAATCCACCCAGTCAATGGTATTTTGTTATGGCAGCCTCAGCTGACTAATACTAGCCCTAAGAATAGTCCCCATAGTTCAGACAGTCCATATTACCAAGTAAGTTCTGGGCTTGCTATTTCAGCTGACACATTCCCATGAAAGTGAGGAGTTCTAATGCTACCTGGCAGTGGACTACGGGAATTCTCAAGGCTGGCTCCAGACATTCATTTCTTAAGAAATGGTTTGGGGACTTCCCTGGTGGTCCAGTGGGTAAGACTCCACACTCCCAATGCAGGGGGCCCAGGTTCCATCCTTGGTCGGGGAACTAGATCCCTCATGCATGCCACAACTAAAGATCCTGCATGCCGCAACTAAGATCCTGCATGCTGCAATGAAGACCCGGCGCAGCCAAAATAAATAAATAATATTTTTTTAAAAAAGAAAGAAATGGTTTGGGCTGTAGGTGATTTTATGTGTATATATATATATATATATATATATATATATATACACACACACACACACACACACACACACACACGTATGTGCACACATATACATATATATATGTATGTATGTATTAGTAATGGGAAGGCTTTTCTAAAATTCATGCTAAAGACATAACTCAATGGAGAAAAGTGATCAATGTGATCACATAAAAATGTAAAAGTTCTATACAGAAAAAAATTGCCTTGATAAACAAGTTCCGACCATATAGCACGGGGAACTATATTCAATATCCTGTGATAAGCCATAATGGAAAAGAATATGAAAAAGAATATATGTATAACCGAATCACTTTTCTGTACAGTAGAAATTAACACAACATTGTAAATCAACTGTACTTCAATAAAATAATTTTTTTTTTAAATTCCCTTAGGCAAACAAGAGTTGAAAAGCTGGGGAAAATATCTGGGCAAGACATTTTAGAGACATGGGCTCAATGTTTACCAGTTAAATAATTTTTTAATGAAAAAGGTAAATACCATAAGAGAAAACAATAGAAATCAAAAGATAAGAACAAGCAACTCATTAAAAAAAGAAATATAAATGTACAAAAATAGATGTAAAAAGTATCACTGGTTTAGTATACCTGTACCCAAATACCACCACCTGGAATAGAACTGATCATAATGCTACCTGTCTTGGAATTATTCCCCACTTGCTCTTTGTATGTATGAAACAGCCATTGTCTGTGGTGCACTTCCAGCTAATAAAAGCTAGCAGCAGCACGAATTATGCTCTCTGCGCCGTGAGCTTCGGCACACTCTGCTGCGCTCTAAACGAGCACGCGCTCTCCCAAATTAAATCTGCTCTGCTAAATGCGGTATTTATTGCTTGGCCGCTAAGATATTTATTTTGTGTTTGGAAATAATTTTTACTTATAATGGCTGAAAAACGTATGCATGTTGTAGTGTTGAATTATGCAAACAATCAAAGTTAGAGCACCACCATGGATGCTGAGATGGAAATTTCACAACAGGTGCTTAAAGTATTTTTTAGAAAATGTTGAGGATGTAGAATGTGTGGTAGCCACCTTCTTAGGTGGGTTAGTATCCTGTGGCTGTTATAAAAAAAAAAATACTGCAAACCTGGTGGCTTAAAACAGAAATGTATGTGTTCATTGTTCTGGACGCCAGAAGCGTGAAATATATCACTGGGTCAAAGCCAAGGTATTGGCAGGGCCATGCTTCCTTTGGAGGCTCTTGGGGAGAATACACTCCTGGCCTCTTCCAGTTTCTAGTGGTTCCTGGCTTTCTTTGGCTTGGGGCCACATTTTCAAATCTGTCTCTGCTCCATACTTACATTACCTTCTCCTCTGTATGTCTGTGAAAACTCCCTCTGCCACTCTCTTGTAAGGACATTTGTGATGACATTTAGTAGTGTCACCCACTTGGAATGTGCAGAATAGTTTTCCCATCCCAGGATTCTTAACTTAATCACATCTGCAAAGACTTTGCCGTAGGAGATAACATTCACAGGTTCCAGGAATTAGGGCTTGCTAACTTTTGGTGGGGGACAAGATTCTGACACCAATCACTATGTGTGGTTTCTTCGTGCACCAAGCAATTCTCAGACACCAGCTGGGTGTCCTACAATTCAACTCAGTTCTGCAATTATGGACCTAG